TTTTGCGTCATGCTTTTTGGTGATTTGAATGTGTTGGTGGGTTTTTGTGTTGTTTGTGGGGGGGGGGGGGGGGGGGGGGGGTAATGGTTATTTAACACCCTGTAAACACTAGTGTTTCATTATGTCTATCATCACAAAGAGTAAGTTCTTAAGAAGCGACCGGCGGTTGGGCGAACAGCCTCGGTGGTTGGGCGGCGCCCAACCTAGCTCACCCTTGGTTATGCCACTAAGTGAGGATGATATTTCCAAACATTTATATCGCGTTGATGAAGCTGACACCAACTGTTTTCCGATGGAAAAACCCTGGTTAAATGCAATTAGACATCATAGTCTTGCGACAATTCATCATCCGTATAACAATTTAGAGCATTGTCCTGCGGAAGGGTGTGACCATTGTTTTATCAAATTATCGGCAGGCATTACAAATATATCGAGCGCATTAGAATGATCAAGACCTATAGATTGTGTGAACTTGATGTAGCCTAGATCTATTTGCAAATGGGTTGGGTGTACCGGGTGTTTATGAAATATTCTCAGCTTGCTGATGAACAATATGATCTTGGAATTGAGTTTTGCTATTCATTGCTATCGACAAGAACAGATTTTGATAAAGAAATCAAACTCTACAATCTTACTGAATCACTGTATGACCAGAAAGCTGCTTCACTGGGGAATGTTGAAAGTCAACGAAGATCACTTACATTAATTGCGATCAAACACGAAAAATTGAAATTTGAAGAAATGCAAGTCAGTTCTCCATGCGACTATTCAATGTTTTTATGTTGTATTATAAATCTAGCAAAACTACAATCATGTGCTGGTCGCATAGATGAAGCGCAAATCAATTATAAAAAAAACTAATCGAGATTTATTTACAAAAAACCTGGACGCGATTTTTACCAGATTGCTTAAATATGTAAGGCATTATCGCAGATTATCATCGAAAGCCGAGCACATTATTGTTTAGGCCTTTCATATAAACAAAGAAGATCTGTAGCTTCAATTGAAAGATAAAACTAAGAAACCGAATTCTAGTGAATCTGCTGTTGATTTTGACAATCAGAACATGGGTAAAATACATGAAGATATAGGTGATGTTTACGCTCGACTCTGACAGCATGATTTTGTACCTGAAAACTTTCAATTATTTATATAATTCCGAGAATTCAGCAGTTCTTATACATCAGCCAAACAAATTACAATTTTGACGCAGAAAATAAACGACATAGAACGCGAATTAAATAGAACATGTGAAAGTGTTAGTTCTGTTGACACAAGCAAATGATTTTCATCGAATTCCACTACTCTTTTGCAAAAAAATATTTATTGACATAGAGTAAATCGTACGGAATGGTGATAGGAAGTCTTTTCATAACATACCTATTCAAAGACACTTCTTTTTTCAAAGATTCTTATTACAGGTAGCTTTGACGTCGTGTAATTTTTAACGAAAGAAGTAAGTAACACATTTTGAATATCTCTCCTAATGATACCTTGCGAATGGTTGTAGATGAACAAAGGCAATGTTACCATTCAGCCGACCGCGCGTTATCACTTGAAAAATACGTTCGATTGTGTCGACGGAGAAGAGATTATTCGCGTGTACGAATGTCGGCAGGGATGTTCGGGCTTTTGTGGACCAAAAACCGCAGTTAGGTTGACTAAGAATCGTTTAATAACTCGCGACAAGGAAGCGGGTGGTTGTTTTGGTTGTTGCACGAAAGGTGCTCATGTTGACACATCGATCTATTTGAATGATATTGGAATGATCGCTGAGGCAAGTGACACCAAGTATACGTTCGGCTGCGGTACATTTCTTGCTACTTGGGTATCTTCTACGAACATGTTGCTGTTGTCGCCTA